CAATGCACAAGCTCCTCTCTCACGCTCCTTTTCTACAGTCATCCACGTTTCATTAATGCACATGACTAATTATCTTCTCCCGTAGCAGGTCTCCGTAGGTCATAGTTCCTTCTGTACCCTGGTCCTGACACCTGCTGCTGCCACCACCGTGATGGTGGTTCTATCTGATCGCAGTTCTATCTGATGGCGGTTCTATGTGATGCCGTTTCTATCTGATGTCGGTTCTATCTGATGGCGTTGCTATGTGATGGCGTTGCTATGCGATGGCGTTTCTATGCGATGGCGTTTCTATGCGATGGCGTTTCTATGCGATGGCGTTTCTATGCGATGGTGGTTCTATGAGATGGTGGTTCTATCTGAATGTGGTTCTATGTGATGGTGGTTCTATGTGATGGTGGTTCTATGTGATGGTGGTTCTATGTGATGGCGGTTCTATCTGATGGTGGTTCTATCTGATGGTGGTTCTATGTGATGGGTGATGGTGATTCTATGTGATGGTGGTTCTAAGTGATGGTGGTTCTATGTGATGGTGGTTCTATGTGATGGGTGATGGTGATTCTATGTGATGGTGGTTCTAAGTGATGGTGGTTCTATGTGATGGTGGTTCTATGTGATGGGCGGTTCTATGTGATCCGCTCGGCCCGATGTCGGAGAAACGTGTACAAAGTGACGAGAAAGATGAAGCATCTGATCTGAACACGTGACGTCAGCACCGGTCGGCTGAGGGGTCAAACTCACGTTTTCCCTTCAAGTACATCATGGACTGAGGACCCCAGTGGACGTTGAGCTGAGGGGAGAGAGGACAACGTCTGCTCTGCTGAGCGTGACACAGAAAGTCAGCGGAGGAGAACAGCAGCAGCTGGTGAGTTTTACCTTCTGTGGACGACAGGACTCAACCAACAGGGAGAGGACGAGGGCGACGGTCCACCCAACCAGGGCCGTGATCTTCTGCAACAAGAGCATGCAAACAGGTGGGATGAGCTCCGCTTGGTTCGGTAGTTTAACGGTAATGTGTATATATATATANNNAAATTAATTCGGCTCATTGGGCCGAGCCAGTTGACAGTGTTTCGGTATATAGACTTAAGTGACACATGTCCATTGGAGCTGATTGTTGGGCTGCAGATCGGAAGCTTTGTGTTCCTTCATGGCGCAAAGCGCTCGTGTTTCATCACAACTTTCTATTCATCACACATCGGGGTCATGTGCACGAGGTTCGGTGTTTCTCTGTGTACATTTACTCTGACGCGTGGTAAAACGCAGCATTAATTAGTAATTCATTCAATTTTATTCCATTCAACTGACAAACCCACATGTGGGCTTTTGAGTGAGCTTTTTCACCTTTCCAGCCCGTATGTTTTTCTTAGTGTGTATATATATATATCGTGTGGTATATATATATATATTCGGTAGTTTAACGGTAATGTGTATATATATATATATATATATACACATTACCGTTAAACTACCGAATATATATATATATACCACACGATATATATATATACACACTAAGAAAACATACGGCTGGAAAGGTGAAAAAGCTCATTAAAAAGCCACATGTGGGTTTGTCAGTTGAATGAATAAAATTGAATGAATTACTAATTAATGCTGCGTTTACCAGCGTCTGAGTAAATGTACACAGAGAAACACCGACCCTCGTGCACATGAACACGATGTGTGAAGAATAGAAAGTTGTGGTGAAACACGAGCGCTTTGCGACATGAAGGAACACAAAGCTTCAGATCTGCAGCCTAAATAATCAGCTCCAATGACAATGTGTCACTTAGAGTCTATATTAACAAACTAGTGTCAACTTGCATTGTTCAAATTGTCTATTTAATTTTGACTTTGTGAAACACATCGGTATTCTGTTGCTGAGTGTCCCACCAGTTTGCAACACTTTGTTTCTGATTATGAATCAATAAAGAAATTGATTAGTAAAATACTTGAGCAGTTGTATCTATATGGAAACAAATTGTAAACCAAAAATATGATATATATCAGTATGGCTGTTAACACTGAGTCAAATGAAAGCTAACTGTAAACTGTAGTTGCATCATGAGTATTAACTCGACTATGATTCTCCCCTTGTGATTTAGACAAATCAATTAATTCATATTTTAATTAGACTTCATATTTTACAGCCAAACAAATTTACACAAACTGAGTTCGACGAGTTTTCAAAGAGCAAAAGTCTCCACTCACCATATCTGCTGCAGCGGGAGCAGCGTGTGGTTCGGAGCCCAGTTCCCGCCTGCTTTTATCCGCGATGGCAACCGGTTCGATTCTGCTCCCCATCAGGAGCGACAGGACTCCTGTTTACTGGAGGCTCCGGAAAACAGCAGAAAAACACGGGCTGACGTCAGGGCCGTGATCTGCAGCGAGGAACATCAATAGCAGGGCCGCTGTGCCGGGCCCCGCGTCCCACCGAGCAACGGCATCAGTAAAGTATTTCACGGGGATGTTTTTATTTCCAATAGAGGATTTCTCGGTATCACAAATTAACCTCATTTGTGAAAGCTCTTACAATGAAGCATCACTGATGTGATTCTCTTCACTCCACAGCCTCCACAATCCAATCGTGTACCTTAATTAAGTGGATTGAGTGCCGGGGGCTCTACACGGATGTGAAGGTACACAAACATATTTGAGCAACACCGGGCGGGTTTTAACTGCTCCACATTTAGTCCACAAGCCGATGGGTGACGCCAGGTTCTCGTTTCTCTCCTAAAACCCTAAATCACACATTTGCCTCAGAGGGTCTTACAATCTGTGCACATGAGACGTCTTCTGTCCCAGAAACCTCACATGTACACAGCTTCTTCCCAACTCAAAGTAAACAAGTTGTGTTCGTTAGTATTAATTCATCACAGGAATCATGAATAAAGAGCAAGTCCTTTCTTCCAGCGTTTGGGGGTCGGTAAACATTAACGTGCAGAAGCACGATCAAAGTGGAGTTTCCATAAAATGTCCCCTTGAATGTTCATAAGAAGCCATACCTGGAGGGACCTAGGACCCAGGGGGGAGGGGGTGTGGCATGACGGAGCCTTGTGTGTATTTAAAAACACAACGTTACCAACGTCATAAACTAACATCTTATGTTGTATATCACATTATAACATTTACATCGCTAGATATTCAAGGGAATTCTACTACCAACACTTCAAAGTGAACTCCCGTTTCTCCCGCTGCCGGATCACCTCTCTCCATCCTGAATAACAAATATAATCTTCCTCGGGCCGCAATGCATGTTGGGATATACTGGGCCCCAAAGGACGGCTCAGACGTGTCCTCTGAATCGCAGACTGGAACGCTGCATTTGTCGAGCGCATTAACGGAGCGGATGGAACGCGTCAGCTGCGTCGCAATCGGCCTACGAATGATGAGCAGCCGAAGAAACGAGACACAGCACACGAGATCCCCTCACTCAGAAGCTGCATCCTTGTGCCTTCTTTTCCCGTCGACTCAGTCCAGCCCAAAGAAATTACGACGTGGGAAACCGCGAGTTGCTGACGGTGGTTCTGGCTCTTCAGGAGTGGAGGCACTGGCTTGAAGGCTCCCAGCAAGGGTTTCTTATATGGACGGATCACAAGAACCTGGCTTACCTCCGCTCTGCCTGCCGACTCAATCCCCATCAAGCCCGCTGGTCGCTGTTCCTCAGCAGGTTCCATTACACGCTGTCCTATCGTCCAGGAAGCCGTGATGGGAAACCGGACTCTCTCTCGCGCATCTACTCACCCTCGAGTCCCCAGGATACAGATCCAGTCATTCCCTCCACCTGTGTGGTGGGGGCAGCATCGTGGGAGATCGAGTCGGTGGTTAAGGAGGCCCAGGAGGACGTTCTGGATCCTGGCGGTGGTCCTCCTGCTCGTTTGTTCGTCCCTCCTGCAGTCCGGTCACAGGTCCTTCAGTGGGGACATTCGTCTAAATTGACTCCGCCATCGCTTCTGGTGGCCGGGGATGGCAAAGGAAGTTTGTGGCTGCCTGCTCTGTCTGTGCCAGGAGCAAAGCTTCACCATCGGCCTCCTGCTGGTCTGCTGCGTCCTTTACCCGTCCCCAGCCGTCCTTGGTCACACGTTGCCGTGGATTTCGCCACCGGGTTACCCCCATCCGAAGGTAACACAGTCATACTCACCATCATTGATCGTTTCTCCAAGCCTGTGCACTATGTTCCCCTCCCCAAATGACCCTCTGTCTTGGAAACTGCTGAGCTTCTGACCAATCATGTGTTTAAGCTCCACGGGATTCCTATAGATATCGTGTCAGATCGCGGACCGCTGTTTGCGTCCCGTGTGTGGAGCGCTTTCTGTAAGGCGCAGCAGCCAGTCTCTCCTCTGGCTCTCATCCCCAGACAGATCGGGCTAATCAGGATCTCCTCAGGATCGTCCCCCGGTCTCCTGGAGCTCCTTCCTGCCCTCGATCGAGTACGCGCACAACTCCCTCTCGTGCTCCGCTACAGGTACGTCCCCATTCATGGCTTGTTACGGTTTCCGACCCCCGGCGTTCCCAGCCCAAGGAGGAGGAGGTGGCAGTTTCTTCGGTGGACGAGCATCTCCGGAGGGTTCGGGAGGTTTGGAGGAATAAGGCGGCGGCACTCACTCGCGCCGCCGAAAACAACAGCAGCGGCCGGCAGACCGACATCGCTCCCCTGCCCGAGGATGAGGAGGTCGGGCAGAAGCTGTGGGTTTTCTTTGCGGGACCTTACACTTCAAACGGAGTCACGTAAGCTGGCGTCCCGTTATGTGGGTCCTTCCACCATTTCCAGAATAATGAACCCTTCCTCTGTCCGCAGATACATTCCATGTTTCCCTCCTTAAGCCTTTCTCCACCAGTGACCTCCGGCCGTCCTCCCTCCACCCCCCCAGCTCATCGATGATCACCCCGTGTGGACGTCAGGCCCAGAGGACGGGGTTGACAGTACCTGGTTGATTGGGAGGGATAAGCTCCTGGATCTCCCAGATTCGGGGTGTGATCCAAGAGAGCGGTCGAACGTTTAGACTTGATAAGCAACAGGTTTGAAAATAATACACACGTCCATTCAAACGCAGATGGCACCACCATCAGGAGCAATTTGGGGTTCGGTGTCCAGCAGTCTGGGGATGAAACCTGCAAACTGCTGTTTAGTGGACGACTCTTCTACAAAATCTAGATTTTAACAACTCATTTTAAGCCATCGAACGATTACACACTAATAAAAACATCGGTTGTGACGGTTAGTTTCCAGATTGCAGTATATTCAAGACAGCATACATCAAAATTAGGGAAAATAAAGAGTTTAATGTTTTTCTCAACAGATACGATCTCCCAAACAGCACGGAGAAGCATTTTAAAGTACACAAAATATAATTTATCAACAACAACACAAACAAAATCTGAAAATTCAAACTGTAAGCAGAATTATTACTACATATTGTTCACACTCCAGAGACTTAAAGTGGAGAAAAACATAGATCAGACATTGCCTCCATCAGGAGAACATCAATATGAACCTGAGTTTGACATTTCTCAGAACAGTGTAAAAATATTAAACCCATTGAATAAAGTGAATATTCTAAAATGAAGCTGTTGTGTCTTTGCTCGGCTCTTTAGTGCTCGTCGCTCTTAAACGCGGCCTGAACGATCTGTGCGAGACAGTGTCCGAACTCCTCCAGCACCCGCAGCTCGCCCTGCACGCCGCCCCGGGCCTCGCCCTCCGCCTCCTCAGCCCTGGCCAGCAGGCAGCCGCACACGGCCTCCACCACGGCCGCAGTGATCACCGACTCAGGCGATCTGAGCGCACACGCGGGACGGGCGAGCCCCTTCCTGCGGCGACATACAAAGAGGTCACCGCTGCTGTCGCAGAGCAGGTGGTTCGTTTGCTTTGAGAGGAAGACGATTTCTGCGCTAAAGCGTTTAACAGAGATACATCCGGTGCTTGAATTGTTATATTGTCTTTGACATCAGTACCGGCACGCGCTGCGCGCGGCGTTTGAGAAGCCGCCGGACTCACTTGCTGCCGACGTCGGCGTTCTTCTCTCGGGGCGCCACGTCGGACGCCTCCTCGTAGTTTCTGCAGCCGAGACACTTGCAGCTGGAGGTGCACATGATGTTGGCCTGCGCGCGAACACACAACCGCACGACTCACTCATCACTACGTCATCCATTCAGTTTCTTTTGACCGTTCATGTGTGAATACGATCAAGTGTCTTTTTGTTTGCTGCAACTGAACAACCGGGAAGTATGAAACAGAAATGAAATTGATGAGAATGTCGAATGACGTTCTATTTTAGGGTTGTGTGTGTGTGTGTGAACACCTCGTAGCACTCGCAGTAGTTCTTGAGGCAGCCGGAGCGTTTGCAGCAGCAGCCTTTGTCTCCTGCTTTCATCCCGCCGGTCGTCTTCGACCTGAAGGCATCCGGGTTACGACCTAAACACGACTGCACGAGGACAGCGGCGGTAACGAGGATCCAACCACGCACACGTCAAACGTCACGCAGGCAACAAAAGGGAGAGCGTTTAGGGTTCCAACGCTCGGCCACGAGACGTAAGCAGTGCCTGAAGCGGGATGAGGCTCAAACCAAACGCTTTCAGTCTGCATCGTCCAAAAGGGGGATTTCTGTTTGGTTCTGATGTCGCTGAGGAGGAAATGATTGAAAGGACATCTGGCGCACGTCAGAGCGACAGAATACAAACTGATATAAAACGTGGTCCATTGAGCTCAGCGACGTGGCTGAAACATGATGCTGATGGAGACACAATCCTGATGTTTACGCTTCTGAACGCAACACAACGCAAAGAACAAGACTCTGCAAGGCCAGAGGGCCTTTTAACCCTCTGTAGACTCGTTCCTCATCGTCACGGACTACTTCATTGCCTTTATACGAGCTCTGTATAGAAGGAGCTTCATAAAGACATAAAGGTTGAATACCGTGAGAATCTCCAAACAAACAAACAGGCCGTCTATGTAAAAACCCCGTAGACATGTTCATGGGGTAACTATTTGTTAAAAAGCCCTGATTTGGCTCAAATGCTGAATCTACTAAAATAGACCAGTACAGGTTTTACTCAGACTGAATAAGTGCAATTACGTTCTAGTGAAGCGTTAATGGACCTCTGGTGCGGCTGCATTAGCCGACGGCCGTGTTTCGTCATGTTGTTGTTGTGCTCAGTGCGAGTCGACTCGCTGTCCTCACACGGGAAGGAAAAAGCAAAGAGAGGCAGCGCGGCGAGCGAGACGTCTCCAGCAGCTGCGCTGAGGAAGCAGATCAAACAGCTGTTAGACTCCATGGATGCAGCCGCCGCGTCGCCACGCGCTGCACACACGGATCAGCAACCATCACCGTCACCGTTTGTCTTCAAATCTGATGCTTGTTGGGTAATGAAAATAAAAAAGTATCACTAGTTATTTCCTCGTACGAACGGCTTTTTACGTCCCCAGTTGCAGGAACGTGCACAGACATTTTGGGGGGGGGGGGGGAGGTGCTCAAACCAAACCAAAAGGGCCCCCATCGCCAAAACGATTTCACAAAATAATAATAATAAATATAATATATAATAAAAATAATAATGATAAATAAATAAAAAAACAAGTAGAATATTTTCAGCTTATACATTACATGTAATTTAATTAACGCGTTTATCCAAACAAACTAACTCAAATTACCAAATTGAATAAATAAAAGAGGCCATATTGTATAACCAAATAATATGTTAAATAATCAAAAAATATTCTAACTTAAAAGTTATTGCAACTCTGCTCTGAATAAATTGAAGGAGATTTATAGGAGCTCCTTGGAGCCATCTCTTGGAAGATGTTTACCGTTTTATTTTACGGTTGAAGCATTAGCAGCATAAAACTAATACTATACCAGACTGTCACCAAGTTAAGAACTACCTTTCATTTCAATAATTAAACAATAGTAGGGACCTCGTGTAATTTGTAGAACAGTAAAACTGCCATTAAATGATCTGCCTGTCTGCATCGCTCTCTCTCTTCATTTAACATCACACATGTCAGATAACAGCTGGACGAGGCTTTGAAGCACCGGAGCGTGTTGAAGGTTTGCCCGTCCAGGGCAAAGGGGCCGGTGCTTGGGCACCGTTGGGGGTCTGTCTGTGCACGGCCTGCCCAGTTGGCAAAAGTCACACAGCATTTTCAGCTGGTCCACCTTTACTGAACTCTGCTGAGATCCACCTTCACTTTAACCAGCAGGTGGCCGAGAAGACATGACAGTGTAATTCTGCCGCTACAATGTCACAGTTATATGAAAACCTATATTTGACCTTATTTAGACGACATTTTTCTTATGAGAGATATCTGGTGGGCCACCAGTCGTCGGGCACGGCTTATGTCAGACTCTGCGTAGGATTAAGTGACTTCACAAATCTCAGTAATAAAGAGGGTCTTAATCAACCCTTGGTTTCCAGCGTTGTGATCGGTCATCCTATGTACGGGGTTTTCCACTGGGTTGTTTTGTTTCGTTAGGGGGTTCATTTATTCTTACAGCTTCCGTTGAAGTCCTTCAGTGAACTGACACACTGATCCATTTGCTAAACTTAATACGCAAACGTGAACAAGGAAGCATCCCCAACCATAATCGCCTGGAGGCGCTTCGCTTCATGCTCTGCATCGTTGTGGCAGTTGGAGCAGTCACAGTTTCTGCACATCACTCCATTGGAGAAACACTCGCAGTATCTGAAAGAGATCAAGAGAAACACACATGCTGAACTACATGAGATAGCGTGTGTGTGTGTCGAGTCAGAGACAGTTAATCTACTTCACCTAATTGCATGTCTCCATGTAACAAAGCGTTGACAAAGACAAAAAAACGAAAGTGAACCCTGTTCACCTGATATGCATAAATCACACGTGGCAACAGCCTCTCTGCACTCATTTTCCTTAATATAAAATATCAGGCACGTTTTATTGTTAAACCAGCACACATTAGTGGCTAAAAAGGTTGCAAATCCTTACAATGCATGGTGGTATGAGGAGAGTCTACTCACAGTTTGAGGCACTGGGATCGGGTGCAGTGGCAGGGTTTCCTGGATTTGATCTCACACAAAGTGCCAGCGCTTCTGCAGGGACAAAAGAAAAGAATATCAAGGAAATTCATAGTGCTCCACATAAAATCATTACAACATGAGGCAAAAGGACACTTAAAAGCTGTAAACATACATTAAATCAATTTAATTTAATTAATAAACAAGCTTAAAGTACAATAAAAGCTGCACTTCTGTTTATGAATTGCAGCTTGTTGAAACCGGTTTAATTAACAGCACCAGGAAACTTGTTCTTAGGTCTTATTTTGAAGTTTCTGGGAGTCTGTTCCACCTCTAATCCTTTATATATTGTTCAAATGATAATAGGATTAGTTTGTAATTATTTTATAGGACCGTTTTGATTGTTTTTTGAATCCATAACTACAGCTAGATTTCTGGCTTGGTTTGCAGTTTTTTACACATACGATTGAGCGCAGACTCAATTGTTGTGCCTTGGCCCCCAAAACTATTGTTGTGGCACATCCAATTGTTTATTTGTTGAATGCATTTACTCAACCCTTGTATAATATGGCGATATAGTAATATGGATTTGTGTGCAGTTATGATATATACAGATACATACTTTTTTATTTCTATAATGTTAGCGACTGGAAGTATGCAGACGTTGAACAGAAGGGGCTCCAGCATTGAACCTTGAGGAACACCACGTGTAGCTACAGACAAAGTATTCTTGGTACTTCAATTAGGATTCAAACCCAGATTTTTGTGTAATAATGTCATGATTGACTGTGTCAAATGTCGCGTTGAGATTTAGTAATACTAATCATGAAATTCTGCCACTGTGTGTGTTTAAATGGATGTCGTTGAAAAGCTTAACAAGAGCAGTTTCATCACTGTGGTACAGACATCCAAACAATTATGTTAGTTTAGTTAGTCAAGTATTAATTAAGAGTAGTTAAATAACTGCAGTTTTTAGTGGAAGGACTTCAAATGCTCCATAATGTCTTATAATGTTTAATTTTGGTCATTTTATCAGCAAAAACAAAAAAGAGGCAGCTGCCAACACTGGAGGGTTTCATAGCCGGTCAACAGTAGAAAATAATGCTGTGTGTGTGTTGTGACTTTTTTTAACAAGTGAGAAAAGATGGAACTTAATTTGAATATATTAGTAAATAATGAATTTGAGACTCAGTTGTCTGTTGTACTTTAGTTTATGTGATTCCTTACCGTGCTGGAGGGGCTTGAGGCGGCTCATCTCGGTTCTCCTCATACAGGGAACATCTCGTCTGCTGGTAGTGGGGAAGTTGCATGAGTGAATAACAGTTTGTTATTCATGAATCAATCACTCAGTGATGTTTAATATATATGTATATATATAGAGCTGACGCTCAAAGAAATGAATGAATTCTTTTATCTCTCTGAATATACCACAAATACAGTTGACACATGAAAAGGAACAAACTTTGGTTTCCTACCAGGCTGGGAATCCCCAACGCTCTCATATCTGGTGAAGAAGAAAGAAAAGATTTTGTTTTGTTTGAGGTGAAGCAACAGCTCTGGCGGCTTCTTCTATTGCTGGAAAGACAATTGAAAAGTGTCACGTGTGGAGCGGATGAAGCCCGATGGGGCGGAGCTTAGGGGAGGTGATTCACAGTGTTCAATCCAGTTCTTGTGCTGATGATTGCACACCTTCTACGTCACCTTTCCTTTGAGTGGAGGTCAGGGTGTGATATACAGGCATTTGCTCGCAGGGGTTAAGCAGCAGCCCCCCTCCATCCCCAGCAGCATCACAGAAGCCCTGCAGGGACGTGGGGAGACATGAAGGGCAAGAGTCGTTTAGTTCATCTGGAAATCAATGCCTGTTTCTATAATGAACCGGCAGAAATAACAAAGATTCTCTGTTGATTCACTGTGCAGTTTGTTGGTCGTGTTCAATGGAAAGCAGGGTTTTGTACATTAAGAGTGATAATTATTTACTTATTTCTGATGTTTTTATAGATAGAAGTATTCCATATTTTCATGTCTACTCCCAGCACATAATGACAACCTTTAAGCTTTAAGGATCTATGCATCCGGTCACTATAAAAGCACAGGTCATGTCCATTTTGATATGAGGTTACTCAGGAATTGAACATCTATTAGAAGTTCTCTCGCACTGCTCGGGACGGCGTGAGCAAAAAGGGTAGGGGGAGATACAGCCAGCAGGAAGATCATCCTGAAGCTAAACAGAGGAAACAAATATGCTTCTGTGGACTGAGAGCGGCGTCCATTCGGTGGAGGAGGAGGATCCTGGCCGGCTGACGAAAGAGGAGATACTGGTGGAGAACCACTGAGGAGCTGAGCCAGTGTCCAAATCGCCGTTTTTAAAGAAAATAAAGTTTTTTCAATAATCCCGAAAAAAAATCTCTCTCTCTAAAGCGGTTTAAATGAACGACGACAATAAACAAATGCAGAGTGCTGATCAAAAGTATTGTCCAAGCAATTTAAGGTTGTGATTCTTGTCCCAAATACGTAGTCAGGCGCCCGCTAAGCAGACAGTCACGCCGCCGTCACAGTCGAATAGTTCAAGAGGCAACTTCTTCAACTAAATATTGCCAACTATTCCAATCCCACAATTATATTTAAGATAATGGGATCAATGGTTGTCACAAGAGATGTGAGGAGTTTTTAAAAAGAGGAAAAAAAGTAAAGGACATCAGACTTGGTCTGTAAAAGTTCTACTTTGTTCGTAAAAGGTGTTATATTAGTAAAGTTATCATTATTATTAGGAGGCCGGCATTTTTTTATTAAAAACCGGTTAACTCAATTAAACATCTATTATTTTTTAAATGGATTGGAATGAAAATGTGTGCTTATGGCAGAACTCACGGGCTGCGTGACGTGGGATGTGAATTCAGTCATTCCCTCCTGAAACCACGGACCAGGCGCCGGGCTGAGAACACCAAGACCGCCTGAAGTCACTTCACCACTCCACATCCTCAGGCACCTCCATGTCACCACATTCAACATTGTTGCTCCCTACGTAACACTGGTATCACTCAAGTTTATCCAAATTAAAAAAGGGACCGTGAATGAATCCCAGTGAAAAGTAGAGTGCAGTTCTGATGATGCTTTCGGCTGATTTACACCAACACCAGAGGATACCGGAGCCCAGACAAGCTGCAGATCGTCACATTATATCTGTTGTTGGTACCTAACATTGGGTGTTAGTAAATCAGTCCAACGGGACTGTAAAATAAATGTTGACTTACGCAGTGAGGAGGTGATACTGACTGGGTTGTGGCTCCTGGAGGAATCCTGAGTAGGTCAGCTGATAGGGACAGTGGAACCTGCAATTAAGTCCTTAATCTTAACCCACAAAAACAATAAATCCACTGTTTACATTTGTGTTCACACTATACAAGAATGCAAAGCTGTACACAATGCAGTCATTTTGGAGCATATGATGAGGCATTTGGAACCTTAAAGTGCCGGAGTCCAGGGCGCCTGGCTGGACAGCCTCCTGGTGAGGATGAGGAGGAGGAGAAAGGACCTCAGGCAGGCCGGCATCTGAAGGGGATGCGGTCCACGCGGGGACGCTGCGGTCATCCGGGGGGCTGCAGGCATTCGAAGAACCCCGTTTGCTGTGAGCGGAGTCCAGTCCTGCCATCACGTCAGCACGCAGGAGGGTATGTGTGGTCTTCACTTGACTTTAAATGGGAAGTTCCTTCCCTTTCCATGAAAATAATTAAATCCCAGAGTGTGTTACATTGTCATGTTGGAACGCTCACAATAGCCCTTATTATTGAAACCTAACGTTAGCATAAATTACCTTCTAATTTCAGATCCCACACATCCCTTTTTGTCCCCAAAAAAAAAAAAATCAAACCTATTAATGCAGAATATACATATAAAATGTTATATGTGTACCAACAATACTTAGCCACGTGCTTCTATTCCTAACATGGTGACGTGCGTCTCCATGTCGCCTTCGGAGCGGCCGTTAGTTAGCTAGCCGTAGCCAGTAGCCATTTAACGGTACTTAATTAATGACCGTTGGCTAACAATACATCGACAATACATGTTTTACAGCTGGGAGTCTTAACGTTTATATGTTGGCGGGTTACTGAATCGATTCAAGCAGCAGCACATGCAAGTTATCAGTAGGAAGGTTTACGCTGTTAGCCCTAGCCGGCATATGCTAGCTAAAGTGGACGCGAACGTCACGCAGGTTAACCGGTGACGCGCTGGCTAACGCTAGCTAGCGCTAGCTTCACGTCTGCGCTTTATCCTCTTCCCGTTACGCTGCGGCGGTTTTGGCACAAACAACGACGAACGAAGCAGTAACACATTCTGTCAGACGTCTGAACACCTAAACATTTACGCTTAAGCTGCTCACTTACTTAAGCGGACGTCTCTTCGCGGGCGAGTGAGCCCCGTCACTGCTGCTTTGAAGCGCAGCAGAAAGTGGTGCCTTCAAGTCTTCGTTGCACGTGCACAGTTCCATACAGCAGCGCTCTCGCGTGTCACGCGTTGCGCGCGCGACCGTCGCGCATTTCGACCTCTTGTCACGCCACACGTCCAATTCCGCACGCCAAGACGTCTGTCTCCGCTCCGAGCCGTGTTGGTTACGCCCGTCGACCACTGCACGTGTTTACCGTAAGAACTCAAACTCTATTTAAGGTTTTTACGGTAAAAGGGCTCACAGCCCTAAAGGCAGTGGACCTCCTCTATGCTCATGCACATTTCTATGAAATATTACTGTATAGTTTTTAAGAAAAGTAAAGATGAAATCAGTATTAATGACATGATATTCCCCTCTTCTCAATCTTTGAACTGTCTTTAAACCAGATCCAAAATTGGTAACACACTAATTCCACTTGATCCTAGTTCGAGTTGACCTCCTCTATGCTCATGTACATTGGCATGAAATATTACATATGATAATTATGTCTACTCTTCAAAAAATAATAATAAATCCCCTCAGCTCAACAAAGTATGAAGACAATTATTTAAACATATTAATGTTAGAATTGCACACATACGTGTAATGGGGAACTTACTAAATTTACTGATGTATTCAGACGTTTTGGGCCATAAACCATGATGGCCCTCTAAAGACTAGTTTATAACATCTAAAGAATGTGTTATAATAATCATTCATCTTAACCTCAGATAATCATCCACAGATTTTTGATTCTCTTGAACCTCAGATAATCAGACCGTGGCTCCTGATTGGTGGAGGACTCCTCCTGGAGCTCATTGGTGGAAAACGATTTCAAACGTTCCGCCAAATCTCAGAGGTCCCGCCCTCTGCTCTCGCGCCTGGAGCCTCTTCTCTGGTTGGTGCGCGCGTCAGGGACCGTCCCGCCCGCTCCGCGGACATATAAAGGAGGGTTTGACGCGACCGTCGACACTTTCTTTCCTCCACACAGTCTAACGATGAGCGGCAGAGGCAAAACCGGCGGCAAAGCCAGAGCGAAGGCCAAGACCCGCTCCTCCCGAGCCGGGCTCCAGTTCCCGGTCGGTCGCGTCCACAGACATCTGCGCAAAGGGAACTACGCGCAGCGTGTCGGCGCAGGAGCCCCCGTCTACCTGGCGGCCGTGCTGGAGTACCTGACCGCCGAGATCCTGGAGCTGGCCGGAAACGCCGCCCGCGACAACAAGAAGACCCGCATCATCCCGCGTCACCTTCAGCTGGCTGTCCGCAACGACGAGGAGCTCAACAAGCTGCTGGGCGGAGTGACCATCGCTCAGGGCGGCGTGCTGCCCAACATCCAGGCGGTGCTGCTGCCCAAGAAGACCGAGAAGCCCGCCAAGAAGTAGAGACGGAGGCCTCCATCCACCACAAAGGCTCTTTTAAGAGCCGCCAACCCCACGAAAAGAGCTGCGGTCCACATGTCTCAGTATGAAGCACAATAACAAACTACTTTCTAGTGCTTTGCATTTGTTCTGATAAGTGTGTGCAAAAGACTTTAATGATTTGGGATCAACTGACCACATAACTATTAGATCAGTATTTGGTTATAGACTAAATCATTGATTTGTCTGCTGCGGTGTTTGTAATCAATGTGAAAATACAGTGGATATTTGTCAAATCTGTCCAACTGATTCCAGTCCATCAAATGTCCTATTCAACTTAACCTGATGAATAAATAATAAAACAACCAAATTGCGCTACTTGAATTCATTATTGCCGTCATTCACAATGTTTTTTGGGATTTCAGAAAAAATTATATAAAACCTATATAATCACGCTTTTATCCAAATACTTGATAACAGGGAGGTTTTATTTAATCAAATTCGGCTCCAGCCATATTAACCCGATGGTTGATGTCACAAACTAATCTCCGCTCAAACGTGTATTTAAACTTCTAGACGTCAGTCATCAGAATAATTGCGCTCATCCAACTTCTAAAGTCACATCACAAAGTGAGTCTAGCCATAAGAACACAAACTGTACATGTTTCACTTCCGTGGCTCAGTGTGCTGAATGCCTACAAGTCCTGTTAAGGTGCCCTATAATATTTATTTATGACTATTATACATGTATTTGTCTATTCTGGATGAAAAAAAGGTGTTTGTCATGTCTTGACACGTCAAGAATTGAAGTGTGTAACTGTAACTATCAACAGGGCCCTGTGATCGTGAATGGTTTGTGTGACGGTCATTAGATGATTTCAGTGCACACAATGATTCTTACAACATGATTCTCAATGTGAAACTCACGAGACAAACTCGTGTTAAAAGCACCAAAGTGATTCGGTCTCAATAGAGAAATCCGCCTGTGAGACGCATGCGCAGTATCACACAGAAGACAACCAATCACGCTCGAGCAACCGCACAGTTTCATTTGCATCTCGTTCATATATGAACACCGTCCTGTTCACATCGCGACATTGTCAGTCTGCGACAGAGACTTGAATCATGCCTGAGGTTGTGAAAGCGCCCAAGAAGGGCTCCAAGAAAGCCGTGTCCAAGGCCGTCAGCAAGAGCGGCAAGAAGAAGAGGAAGACCAGGAAGGAGAGCTACGCCATCTACGTGTACAAGGTGATGAAGCAGGTCCACCCCGACACCGGCATCTCCTCCAAGGCCATGGGCATCATGAACTCGTTCGTGAGCGACATCTTTGAGCGCATCGCCGGCGAGGCCTCTCGCCTGGCTCACTACAACAAGCGCTCCACCATCACCTCCAGGGAGATCCAGACCGCTGTGCGCCTGCTGCTGCCCGGCGAGCTGGCCAAGCACGCCGTGTCTGAGGGGACCAAGGCCGTGACCAAGTACACCAGCTCCAAGTGAGCCTGATGTAGACCACCAACCCAAAGGCTCTTCTAAGAGCCACCCACCTCTTCTAAAGACAGTTTCCTTATGCTTGTGTTTTTTGTGTAATAAGTGCATATACGTGGTGAACTCAAATCACCAACATTTGACGTTTGATATAAACTAGTATATATTATAAATATCAACTTGTTTTTCTGTTTGCAGCATTGTGTTCATTCATTGATTTAAACATTGGTTGATGGTCACATGAGATGATAATCTAGACTCTTAATAGTGACTTAATAGTAAAACATGTGAAATCCACCTTCATTCAAAGTTATTTAGGCTTTTTTTGTTTTTGTTTCCTCGACACAATTGAGGGAATTTTTAGCTATTTGTGGCTTATCGGCTCCATGTTGAAATCACTACACACTATTTCCCGATGTGTTCATTTTTAAAATGGAACAGTATTTACTTACTTACATTTACAACGGTCACAATTCCATCTGTTGTACATGTTTATTTGAAATGTACAAATTGTTACATTGTTGCTTATCAATTTAAAGCAGAAACTGCCTTGTTGCCTGATATTCATCCGTGGTTTGTTTACCAAAAATACACTTCATTCATAATAGTCATAATGTATTGAGGAAAATGTGTAATCTGTTGTCCAACTTGTTATTTCTAGGGAATCTATAAATCCAGGTGCATCTGTTTAATTTAACAGAGGGAACCTTTAGACAGAAAGCCAAAGTTCCTCTTTGACCGGATTGCAAAAGTTGGGGCAAGATAGTGTAGAGACACCAGCAGTGGGTCAAAGGTCTCATGTGTATGTAGACTAGGAGACATCAACCAGAGAGACGCACAATAGTGGGACAACATCAGAATGAATAGAATAGAATAAATAGAGACTGTGTGTGTGTGTGTGTGTGTGTGTGTGTATAATAAACATAAAAGTATCGTGTTAACTAAAGAGAAGGAAACGCTCTTTAAGGAAGGATTGGGTGGCTCTTAAAAGAGCCTTTTATAGAAGCGTTGGTTGTTCAGACTGAGGTCAGTTTACTTCTTCTTGGGTGCTGCTTTCTTGGCTTTGGGCTTAGCGACCTTCTTCACGGGGGCTTTCTTGGCTGCGGGGGCCTTTTCACCACCTTCTTGGGGCTCTTTGCTACCTTCTTGGGGCTATTGTGGATTCCTTCCGTTTCCTGGGCTCCATCATCACCCAGGACCTCAAGTGGGAGCTGAACATCAGCTCCATCACCAAGAAGGCTCAGCAGAGGTTGTTCTTCCTGAGGCAGCTGAAGAAACTCAACCTGCCAAAGACGTTGATGGTCCACTTCTACACGGCCATCATCGAGTCCATCCTCTGCTCCTCCATCAGCGTCTGGTACGCTGCAGCCACAGCCAAGGACAAGGGCAGGGTGCAGTGTGTCCTCCGCTCTGCAGAGAGGGTGATCGGCTGCAATCTGCCGTCCCTGCAGGACTTGTTCGCTTCCAGGTCCCTGAAGCGAGCTAAAAAGATGGTGGCCGACCCCTCTCACCCCGGACAGAACCTGTTAGTGCCCCTTCCATCTGGCAGGAGGCTGAGGTCCATCAGGACTAAGACCTCCCGCCACACCAACAGTTTCTTCCCGTCGGCAGTCGGGCTCATCAACAGAGTCGGTCCCCCACTGACTGACTATAACATCCCACCGGTCACTCCCCTTCACACTGCACACGTCACTTTAACTGCAATTCATCACTTTGTCTCTTGTCTGTTACTTGTTTGTTAGTGCACTTTATGCTTAATATTTTTCTTTTTTAACTTTCTAATATTTAAAATTTTTAAACTTTATTCTCTATTCTCGTTTTATACTAACCCATAGCCTTAGCCTTATTCTACTAACCCATTGCATTAGCATTTCATTCCACTTTATTTTATTACTTGTGCACTGTTGTCTTGTCTGTCTACTGTTGCGCACCAACCGCCAAGACAAATTCCTTGTATGTTTGACATATTTTGGCAAATAAATGTTTCCTGATTCCTGATCAGACTCAGAGAGACGAGGCCGGCGACCAGAAGAGGCCTGAATGACTTCAACACCATCCGACGAGGAAGATCTTCACACAAATCGGTCGATATTCTGTGAATTGTAACTGGTTAAAACAGATTACAAAGTTACAAAGACATACACATATATATTTCTTTTATTTAAGCATAAAAGCACTTTAACATGTATTTAAGCATCCATTTATACATGTCATTTTATTCCCTCCATAGTAAGGCATAGTCAAGATCAACATTAGTTAATTTACTAAAACAAGTTTAGATGACAGATCTAATATTTAAAATCCCTTATATTTTATTTTATTGCACAGCTATGTTTTCAGTTAATGATTTAAACTCCTGCGGCCACGGGGTGGACGTCATTTATCGTGAATGATTTAATCAGATGACCAGATTGAAGTTTAAGGCCTCTATTGTCAGCGCCACACTAAGAAAAACAAGAACATAATTTTAAAGGCTTTTAAAAGTGTTCATACTCGTGACCTCATGAGAAGACACGTCAAGCTAAAAGGAAATCAGCCTCTTATAGAGAAGGTGAGCGGCCCTTAAAAGGGCCTTTTGGGTGCCGTCGGCCGCAGCAGTCGGCCTTTATCCACCGAAGCCGTACAGGGTGCGTCCCTGTCTCTTCAGGGCGTAGACCACATCCATGGCGGTCACCGTCTTCCTCTTGGCGTGCTCGGTGTAGGTGACGGCGTCGCGGATCACGTTCTCCAGGAAGACCTTCAGCACACCGCGGGTCTCCTCGTAGATCAGACCGGAGATGCGCTTCACTCCGCCGCGGCGGGCCAGACGGCGGATAGCGGGCTTGGTGATGCCCTGGATGTTGTCACGGAGGACTTTACGGTGACGTTTGGCGCCTCCTTTGCCGAGTCCCTTTCCTCCCTTTCCTCTTCCGCTCATGTTCACTGGTCGGTTTGATGCAAAGATGATGAACTCGAGTCAGTTCACAGGTATTTAAAGCCAGTCTGAGGACGTGATGGAAGACGGAGGCGGGGCTTTAACGTGGCGCTGCAGCGCCTCCTGCTGAACGACATCATTAATAATCAACACTTGTCTCCTCTGTTGTCAAACTCTGAATGTACTTAAACATTTGTTATGTAAAATAGGACAATAATGTCTTGTGTTTAGTAGTATAAGTATAAGCAGAGAACCTATATTGACTGTAATAATATATCATACATATAATGAAGTATATGAAAACCAGTGTAATGTCAGATTATTTAAATCATAGAGATGTTATTCTTCGTAATATATGGAGTAATGTTATTTTATATAAAGACTACAGCCGCGGCCAAAAGTTTTGAGAATGACATGTATTTGTCCGTCAGACTTGTAAAATAACAATCAAATTGAATTTGCAAAAGACAAATCAGGGATCAGGAATCAGGAAACATTTATTTGCCAAAATATGCCAAACATACAAGAAATTTGTCTTGGCGGTTAGTGCGCGACAGTAGACAGACAAGACAACAGTGCACAAGCAATAAAATAAAGTGGAATGAAATGCTAATGCAATGGGTTAGTAGAATAAGGCTATGGGTTAGTATAAAACGAGAATAAAGTTAAACATTTTAAATATTGAAAAGTTAAAAAGAAAAATATTAAGCATAAAGTGCAAACGAACAAGTAACAGACAAGTGACAAAGTGACAAAGTGATGAATTACAAAAATGCACAATGACATAGAATTTGTAACAATGATTAAATGCACTCAAGTTCAAAGGTTTCTCTAAATATAAAGGGCACACTTATTTTTGATGCTCTCCATTGAGAGGATAATGTGAGAGTTAAGTATTTGAGGTATTTAACGTGTCACGGGTCTCCGTTTCAAATGAAACAATCACATCCCAACAACAGTTTGGTTTGTGTCTCATGAGTTAATAAGAACATCAGGAATAGTTCTCCAGAGGCGGTGAGGTGGCTCTTAAAAGAGCTGTTGTGGGGTCAGTAGGAGCAGACTTCTCAAGCTCGCTCCCCGCGGATGCGGCGGGCCAGCTGGATGTCTTTGGGCATGATGGTGACCCTCTTGGCGTGGATGGCGCACAGGTTGGTGTCCTCGAACAGGCCCACCAGGTAAGCCTCGCTGGACTCCTGCAGAGCCATAACGGCGGAGCTCTGGAAGCGCAGGTCGGTCTTGAAGTCCTGAGCGATCTCTCTCACCAGACGCTGGAAGGGCAGCTTGCGGATCAGCAGCTCCGTGGACTTCTGGTAGCGACGGATCTCCCTCAGGGCCACGGTACCGGGCCTGTACCGGTGAGGCTTCTTCACGCCGCCGGTGGCCGGGGCGCTCTTGCGGGCGGCCTTGGTGGCCAGCTGCTTCCTGGGGGCTTTGCCTCCGGTGGACTTACGGGCGGTCTGCTTGGTTCGTGCCATGATCGACTAGTCTCGCTCTGGTGAAGTGAACTCTGAGAGGAGACACGCGGCTCTTAAAGTGTGGACCGGCTGTGGAGCGGTGACGCAGCTTCAGACCTCGGCTCCTGATTGGTGGAGGACTCCTCCTGGAGCTCAGCCGCGCCTCCACAAGAGAGTCTGCGATGCTCATTGGTGGAAAACTATTTCAAACTGTCCGCCAAATCTCAGAGCTCCCGCCCTCGGTGCTCGTGCCTGGAACCGCCCGGCTCGCTCCACGGACACGTGCATTATGGTTGGCTCGACTATACAAATATATATTTATTATTGCTAATGTCAAGTTATGAAACATTTAGCTCTGGGCTAAATTTTCAAGGTGCCAATCAAAAGGATGAAAATGGTGTACTAGTAGCGAGGCTCCAAAGTTTTCGAGAAACTTTTATGAGAGGAGCTGTGGTCTGTTTGGAGACTCTTTTGGAAAATCCAAAAGAGCCTCCAAACACACACACACACACACACACACAGCTGATACTCATTAACACACCTCCTCATTCCCATTCATGCTTCCACTCGCCCTAAACGCCCACAGCCGCTTTCCATAGCAATCAACTCTCACACTGATTCTCAACTCACCTGTTTCTGCTCACTGCTTAATTTGTTTGACTATTTCTAACCACTCTTTCTCTACTCCCCTGTCAGACTGCTGTTGAACGCTGAGCTGTTGCCTTGTCCCTGTGTTACCAATCCAGCGTTGTCTTTTTCGAGATCTACTGTAAGTTTTGTCCCGGACTGCGTCTGCTGACGGCAGCCCCCATAGTTCGAGTTTGGGAAGAATAAAAGACATTTTTCCGCACCTCTGCATCTGGGTCCTCTGTTCTCCACGTAACACTCTCACCGCGGACAGAACCTGTTTGTGTCTCCGGTCCCCCACTTACTGACTCTTTTTAAACTTTATTTTTAATTTAAATTTGTCTTGTAATCATTGTCTTATAAAATCAACCTACATCTAATATAAACGTGTTTTTTCATGGACTACTGGGATGAGTCCAGTAGTCCAGTAACTGTTCATAAGATAAGATGACACAAGGCGTTGTTTCTGTCGTCTGTAGCATGTTCATACCATCGTCTGAGTAATCCTTGAAATACAGTCTGGAAACCATGTGTGAATAGATATTGGTTCAAATTCTCCCTCAGGAATTCATTTCAAACACAGTTTGTTGGAGAGTCCACACGTGTCTCCATTAACATTAACAAGGAGTGTTTAACAATATGCGTTACAAGAACGGACAGATTGAGACGAGGATCGAAGTTGGGGGGGAAGCTGCGTACCTCCCGATGCGAGCTGGGCGCAGCGGCCGTTGTCTCTGTCCTTGGTGCTGAACTGGGTGCCAGTGTGGGAGAGGCTGCTGGTCCGCCCAGCTGTGCCACTGAAGCCCTCGGCGTGAAGGCTGCAGTTTAGGGGGGGAGTGGTAAAAAAGCAAAGGGTTTCAGAAAAAAAAATAAGCCAAAAGCAGCTTTTATTATTTAGCGTTGCGTTGGGCAACTATGCTTGTTGGCAGCTCCACATGGCAGTGAAATCATCTAAGTAG